TTCAAGAATCTTGTAATTGACGAGTCTTTGATTTTGTTCAAAGGTAGACTGTCATTCAAGCAGTAATACCGAGCAAGAGGAACCGCTTTGGTATAAAATTGTTTTGTACTCTGTGATTGTGACAGTGGCTTGGTGTTGGATATTGTTGTATACACGGGAGTAAAACATTGAAAGATACCAAGATGTTATTGGGTATATCAGGTGACGTAGTGAGAAACATGATGGCACCTTATCTTGGTAAGGGCCATACATTATATACCGATAACTGGTACACAAGCCCATTACTCAGTGATTTCATGCGAGTGAACAAGACAGATGTGTGTGGCACAGTGCGTTCTAATCGTAAACATATGCCCAGGCTCAACGCAGGTGTTCGTGGTGATGACGTGCAGGTGTTTACTGCCAATGACATCATGGCATTACGGTGGCAAAGACAAACGAGATGTCACATTGTTGACAACCATTCACCGTAATGAAATGCAAGACAGTGGCAAAGTTGATCGAGTGACCAATGAACGTATTCGAAAACCAGTGACAGTGATTGATTATACACAAAACATGCGCTTGGTTGACAAGTGTGACATGCAGATTGGTTTTGTTGACTGTGTTCGTAAGAGTTACAAGTGGTACATGAAACTTTTCTTCCATCTCATGGACATTTCAATGCTGAATGTATATAATATGTACCAAATAAAGACTGGTAACAGACCACCGTATGGTGAATTTTGTTTGTCTGTTGTCAGACAACTCATAATGAAGTACCAGGCAACAACACCTGCAATACAACATGGTCCTCGAATTCATCACAATATACCCAAGCGTTTGAGAAGAGAAGGTGATCATTTCATAATACAGCTTCCTTCAACTCAAAAGAAATTTGCTCAGAAGAGATGCATTGTCTGTGCACAAACAAAACGACGGCAACAAAGACGCAAAGACACTCGGTTTATGTGTGAGGAATGTAAGGTGCCTCTGTGCATGGTGCCTTGTTTCAAGGAGTTCCACAAGCTCCAGCAGTTCTAAAACCATGTCCAGTGATTGTAAATATGTAAATATATGATAGAACATTAGTATTATACAATATTTGTGCATGTTTATTGTAATAAACAACAGTGGTAAACAATAATATGATAATAACTTTAGTGCGGTTATTGTGTTCAATACAGTGAGTATATATATATCAATTATATACAGTATTGGTCTCTCAGGCCCCAAATGTTAGTAGGAATAGAAAAAAATTGGAAAAGAAAAGAAAAAACAACTAAAACAACAAAATAATATAATACGCGTATGTGGAATTCATCGATGTTGCCGCCACCACATCATTTTTACAAACTTCTTGGCACTGTATCTCGGTAAGTACTGATCAGATTCTAATTTTTTTTTGTTTTATTACCTTCACAAAAATATGCTCTTTAATTCTGTAAGAAAAAATAATTTTTTTTTTTTTCAAAATTTCTTGGACACTGGTGCGTGACTTCAGATTTTGGCCTTGGACCCTGAAAGGGTTAATGTGTACCTGCATGCCAGCACAGTGTGTAAGTTTATTTAGGTACAGGTATACATAAGTATAATTATCAGAGTACACCTACCATCCGACTTACGACCGAGTTCGGTTCCGAGAAACTGGTCGTAAGTCAAAATGGACGTAGGTCGAACTTTACTACTGAATATCAACATCACATTTTTGTAATGACTTTATTTTATTGTTTTATTTTGGCATTTTATGTTTTACTTTACTTTTTATGCTGTTAGTACTGTATTTTATACTGTAAGGTTTAGGATAAACACTGTGTACAACACAAATAGTTGTTTATTTCCCAGAAATTTGGCATAAAAAACACGGTCGTAAGTCGAGCAGGTCGTAAGTCGGATGGTAGGTGTATATATAAAATATGAAAAAAAAACACTTGAAATTTTGGAGTTTCCAGACATAATGGAGAGATGTAGTGCTTACGGAGCTCATGGAGAATGTAAACAAACTGGGTGGGATGCAGTGACCACATTAGAAAGTCAGGTGGGGGAGCCGTATAGAGAGTTTTGGTCATAATTTGAAATGACAGTATCAGCAGAACGCCGTAAAGTGAAATGCCATAAAGCGGGGCCCTACTGTATACAATATCATATTCAATACCATGATCTACCTCCTCAAATACCTTAGTGAAGAAAATTAGCAAATTCGTAAGACAGGAACACCCCTTCGTAAAACCGTGCTGAGATTCATTAATCAATTTATGCCTGTCAAGATGGCTACGAATTGCTTCAGCAATTATTGATTCCATAAATTTGCCAACTATGGAGGTAAGGCTTATTGGTCTATAGTTCGAAGCTAAGGACCTGTCACCTGCCTTGTAAATAGGTAGTACATTTGCCATTTTTCACTTGTCTGGCACTATGCCAGTTTGTAGTGATGACTTGAGTCCTGGAAATGGGAAGTACAATGCCTGCACTTTAAAGGAGGGGTTTGGGATATTGGCAGTTTGGAGGGATATGTTGTGTATCTTTATATGTGTATGCTTCTAGACTGTTGTATTCTGAGCACCTCTGCAAAAACAGTGATAATGTGCGAGTGTGGTGAAAGTGTTGAATGATGATGAAAGTATTTTCTTTTTGGGGATTTTCTTTCTTTTTTGGGTCACCCTGCCTCGGTGGGAGACGGCCGACTTGTTGAAAAAAAAAAAAATGCTAAGTTCCTCTTCACATTCCTTTAAAACCCTCACAAACAGTTCATCAGGGCATGGGGATTTGTTAGGTTTTAATTTCTCTATTTATCTGAGGACCATGTCACTAGTTACCCTAATAGTGCATAGTTTATTATCGTCCTGTTCTACGTAATTTATTATTTCTAGAATTTTGCTAATATCTTCCTCAGTAAAAACTGAGAGGAAGTAGGTATTGAAACTTTCACATATTTCCTTATCCCTGTCAGTGATCTGACCTGAGTTACTCATAAGTGGGCCTATCTTGTCCCTAATCTTCTGTGTACCTGAAAGAACCCTTTTGGCCTCATAATCCCTTTTTGCTTTTCTTATTCCTTTTTTTATTTCTCCCTTTAACCCTTTGATTGTCACAACCCCAAATCCTGAAGTGTCTCCTGGTGTTGAAAAATATTCGAAATTAAAAAAAAAATGAAAAACCTGGGATGCTTGAATGTGCGTGGATGTAGTACAGATGACAAGAAAGAGATGATTGCTGATGTTAAAAATGAAAAGTAGGTGGATGTCCTGGCCCTAAGCGAAACAAAGCTGAAGGGGGTAGGGGAGTTTCATTGGGGAGAAATAAATAGGATTAAGTCAGGGTTATCTGAGAGAGTTAGAGCTAATGTTGAAGGATCAGTTCTGGAAGGACAAGAGGGAATATAAATGTATAAATTCAAGGATTATGTGTATAAAAATAATACTTTTGGAAACTATTACCTTTTCAGTCTTGTTTCTTAAATTTGCAGTGCAAATATTTTTTTTTTTTTTTTTTTTTTTTTTTCAACAAGTCGGTCGTCTCCCACCGAGGCAGGGTGACCCAAAAAAAAGAAAGAAAATCCCCAAAAAGAAAATACTTTCATCATCATTCAACACTTTCACCACACTCACACATTATCACTGCTTTTGCAGAGGTGCTCAGAATATAACAGTTTAGAAGCATATACGTATAGAGATACACAACATATCCCTCCAAACTGCCAATATCCCAAACATTTTATTTATTATTTTTTATTAACACACTGGCCGATTCCCACCAAGGCAGGGTGGCCCGAAGAAGAAAAGCTTTCACCATCATTCACTCCATTACTGTCTTGCCAGAAGGGTGCTTTACACTACAGTTTTTAAACTGCAACATTAACACCCCTCCTTCAGAGTGCAGGCACTGTACTTCCCATCTCCAGGACTCAAGTCCGGCCTGCCGATTTCCCTGAATCCCTTCATAAATGTTACTTTGCTCACACTCCAACAGCACGTCAAGTATTAAAAACCATTTGTCTCCATTCACTCCTATCAAACACGCTCACACATGCCCGTTGGAAGTCCAAGCCCCTCGCACACAAAACCTCTTTTACCCCCTCCCTCCAACCTTTCCTAGGCCGACCCCTACCCCGCCTTCCTTCCACTACAGACTGATACACCCTTGAAGTCATTCTGTTTCGCTCCATTCTCTCTACATGTCTGAACCACCTCAACAACCCTTCCTCAGCCCTCTGGACAACAGTTTTGGTAATCCCGCACCTCCTCCTAACTTCCAAACTATGAATTCTCTGCATTATATTCACACCACACATTGCCCTCAGACATGACATCTCCACTGCCTCCAGCCTTCTCCTCGCTGCAACATTCATCACCCATGCTTCACACCCATATAAGAGCGTTGGTAAAACTATACTCTCATACATTCCCCTCTTTGCCTCCAAGGACAAAGTTCTTTGTCTCCACAGACTCCTAAGTGCACCGCTCACCCTTTTCCCCTCATCAATTCTATGATTCACCTCATCTTTCATAGACCCATCCGCTGACACGTCCACTCCCAAATATCTGAATACATTCTCCTCCTCCATACTCTCTCCCTCCAATCTGATATCCAATCTTTCATCACCTAATCTTTTTGTTATCCTCATAACCTTACTCTTTCCTGTATTCACTTTTAATTTTCTTCTTTTGCATACCCTACCAAATTCATCCACCAACCTCTGCAACTTCTCTTCAGAATCTCCCAAGAGCACAGTGTCAATATTTTTAGTTCTAACCCAAGCAGAGCTGCCAATTATGTATTATTTGTTCCAGATTTGCTTAACTAGGTGAGGTATGGGTGGTGGCACAACTGCCTTAGTTTCCCAGTCAGTACTGTATTTTTTGGCATATAAGGTGTGTTTCTTTTTCCCACAAAAAGTATATGTCAATGTCTGTCTTCATTAAGGATGCTGTATATCAACTTGATTTTCATACAAAATCTTAAGTTACTAAAAAAAATCATAATTCATGTTAGTTACTTAATGTTGTCTTTATTACAGGCTAGCACACAGACTTCTTGAAATCAGTAAGAAGCAGCAATTAAAAGCTGACCTGACAGTCCTCATGGCACTCTGCGATAAAACAGAGAATGACATTCGATCATGTCTCTCTGTTCTCCAGTTTGTCAGGTAATGTGTTTTGCAAGGTTGTTGATTTAAAGATGTTTCTGGTGCATTTTTTAAAATTTACTTTGGCTAGGTTTAACCTTTTGACTGTTTCGGCCGTATATATACGTCTTACGAGCCAGTGTTTCAGACATATATGTAAGATAGTAGGTTGGTAGACAGCAACCACCCAGGGAGGTACTACCGTCCTGCCAGATGACTGTGAAACAGAAACCTGTAACCGTTTTACATGATGGTAGGATTGCTGGTGTCTTTTTTTCTGTCTCACAAACACGCTGGATATCAGGCATATCTTGCTACTTTTGCTTACACTTAGGTCACACTACACAGGCATGCACATGCATATATATACATACACACATCTAGGATTTTTCTTCTTTTTCTTAATAGCTCTTGTTCTTTTTTTTTTTTTTCCTCTCTATTGTCCATGGGGAAGTGGAAAAGAATCATTCCTCCGTAAGCCATGCATGTCGTATGAGGCGACTAAAATGCCAGGAGCAATGGGCTAGTAACCCCTTCTCCTGTACACACTTACTAGAAATGAGAAGAAGAAAAACTTTATAAAACTGGGATGCTTGAATGTGCATGGATGTAGTGTGGATGATAAGAAAGAGATGATTGCTGATGTTATGAATGAAAAGAAGTTGGATGTCCTGGCCCTAAGCGAAACAAAGCTGAAGGGGGTAGGCGAGTTTCAGTAGGGAGAAATAAATGGGATTAAGTCAGAAGTATTTGAAAGAGTTAGACCTAAGGAAGGGGTAGTAATAATGTTGAAGGACCAGTTATGGAAGGAGAAGAGGGAATGTGAATGTGTAAATTCAAGGATTATGTAGATTAAAATAAGGGTCAGATGTGAAGAGTGGGTCATAATAAGCATGTATGCACCTGGAGAAGAGAGGAATGTAGAGGAGAGAGAGAGATTTTGGGAGATGTTAAGCGAATGTAATAGGAACCTTTGCACCAAGTGAGAGAGTAATTGTGGTAGGGGACCTAAATGCTAAAGTTGGAGAAACATGTAGAGAGGGTGTGGTAGGCAAGTTTGGGGTGCCAGGTGTAAATGATAATGGGAGCCCTTTGATTAAACTGTGTATAGAAAGGGGTTTAGTTATAAGGAATACATATTTTAAAAAAAGAGGATATATAAGTATACAAGATATGATGTAGAGCATAATGACAGTAGTTTGTTGGACTATGTATTGGTAGATAAAAGACTGTTGAGTAGACTTCAGGATGTACATGTTTATAGAGGAGCCACAGACACATCAGATCACTTTCTAGTTGTAGCTACAATGAGGGTAAAAGGTAGATGGGATACAAGGAAAATAGAAGCAGCAAGTAAGAGAGAGGTGAAGGTGTATAAACTGAAAGAGGAGGCAGTTAACCCTTTGGGGGTCGACAGGTCCTCTCAGAGTCTTGTTCTCAGGGTCGGCCAAATTTGAAAAAGAAAAAAAAAAATTTTTTCTTATGAAAAGATAGAGAATCTTTTCCCGATCATAATGACACCAAAAGTATGAAATTTGATGGAAAACTTACGGAATTATGCTCTTGCGAAGTTAGTGGTCTTGACGATGTTTATGCATTGGCGATTTTGCCCACTTTGAGCCCAATTTTCGGCCAATTCCAATGTACTAGTCGACAAGAATCATAACTATTTCGCTAGAACCATTTTTTTCTATCGAATGAGTACAAGAAACCACCCATTTACCGATTTCAACTATCCAATAAAGTGGTCAGAATTTAGCAATTTTTGCCAATTTCACACAAATTTCAAAAGATACCAATTTCTGAATAGGGTCCAGAATAAACAAGAAAGGCATTCCTGACACTAAAATAACAAGTTCTCTGTTTGTTAGTCACATCCCCAGGCCCCTCTTATATTTATTTGGCTTTCCACTTTGAATTTTTATTCTTACAAAAAAAATAAGATTTACTGTTATGCAGACTACTGCATTAGTGTAGAAATGGTATAAATAATATCAGCGCACTTGTGAAAGAATATTAGACTCACCAGTTGATGTGTATTGGACGCTTGGCATGATTTGTTTACTTTTGAACTTTGGTAAAAATCGAACATTTCTGCTACTTTGAGCTCAATTTCAAGGTACTTTTCGTTGTAAAACCAGTCAAAAATCATCTCAATTTCTGTAATATGTCTTCCATTCTATAAAATGAGACCAAGAAAGCTAGAATACAACAATAAATACCATACGAATATACAGTGCAAAGTCGCTGTTTTAATCCAAAAACCCAGTCGAAGTTTTTTTTTTTCTCATTACACACTGTGTGCTGCAGGATTTTTTTTTATACTGTGCACACTGACCACATAGACCCATTCTTTCATATGTAGGCCTACCAGCTTTCTCTCACTAGATTTGAGGGCGCTAAAATTTAGGCGTACTAGTACGTCAAAAACCCTGGGTCGTAAGACATACTAGTACGTCTGAAACCCCCAAAGGGTTAAGGTAAGATATAAACAACTATTGGAGGATAGATGGGCTAGTGAGAGTATAGGCAATGGGGTTGAAGATGTATGGGGTAGATTTAAGAATGTAGTGTTCGAGTGTTCAGCAGAAGTTTGTGGTTACAGGAAAGTAGGTGTGGGAGGGAAGAAGAGCGATTGGTGGAATGATGATGTAAAGAGAGTAGTAAGGGAGAAAAAGTTAGCATATGAGAGGTGTTTACAAAGTAGAAGTGATGCAAGGAGGGAAGAGTATATGGAGCAAAAAAGAGAGGTTAAGAGAGTGGTGAAGCAATCTAAAAATAGAGCAAATGAGAGAGTGGGTAAGATGTTATCAACAAATTTTGTTGAAAATAAGAAAAAGTTTTGGAGTGAGATTAATAAGTTGAGGAAGCTTAGTGAACACGCGGATTTGACAGTTAAAAATCGGAGAGGAGAGTTATTAAATGGAGAGTTAGAGGTATTGGGAAGATGGAGGGAATATTTTGAGGAATTGTTAAATGTTGATGAAGATAGGGAAGCTGTGATTTCGTGTATAGAGCAAGGAGGAATAACATCTTTTAGGAGCGAGGATGAGCCAGTTGTGAGTGTGGGGGAAGTTTGTGAGGCAGTGGGTAGAATGAAAGGGGGTAAGGCAGCTGGGATTGATGGGATAAAGATAGAAATGTTAAAAGCAGGTGGGGATATAGTTTTGGAGTGGTTCGTGTTATTATTTAATAAATGTATGGAAGAGGGTTAGGTACCTAGGGATTGGCAGAGAGCATGCATAGTTCCTTTGTATAAAAGCAAAGGGGATAAAAAAGAGTGCAAAAATTATAGGGGAATAAGTCTGTTCAGTATACCTAGTAAAGTGTATGGTAGAGTTATTATTGAAAGAATTAAGAGTAAGACGGAGAGTAGGATAGCAGATGAACAAGGAGGCTTTAGGAAAGGTAGGGGGTGTGTAGACCAAGTGTTTACAGTGAAACATATAGGTGAACAGTATTTAGATAAGTGTAAAGAGGTTTTTGTGGCATTTATGGACTTGGAAAAGGCATATGGCAGGGTGGATAGGGGGGCAATGTGGCAGATGTTGCAGGTGTATGGTATAGGAGGTAGGTTACTGAAAGCAGTGAAGAGTTTTTACAAGGATAGTGAGGCTCAGGTTAGAGTATGTAAGAAAGAGGGAGATTATTTCCCAGTAAAAGTAGGCCTTAGACAAGGATGTGTGATGTCACCGTGGTTGTACAATATATTTATAGATGGGGTTGTAAGAGAAGTGAATGTGAGGGTCTTGGCAAGAGGTGTGGAATTAAAAGATAAAGAATCAAACACAAAGTGGGAGTTGTCACAGTTGCTCTTTGCTGATGACACTATGCTTTTGGGAGATTCTGAAGAGAAGTTGCAGAGGTTGGTGGATGAATTTGGTAGGGTATGTAAGAGAAGAAAATTAAAAGTGTATACAGGAAAGAGTAAGGTTATGAGGATAAAAAGATTAGGTGGTGAAAGACTGGATATCAAATTGGAGGGAGAGAGTATGGAGGAGGTGAATATATTCAGATATTTAGGAGTTTACGTGTCAGCAGATGGGTCTATGAAGGAGGAGGTTAATCGTAGAATTGATGAGGGGGGAAAAAGGTGAGTGGTGCACTGAGGAGTCTGTGGAGACAAAGAACTTTGTCCGTGGAAGCAAAGAGGGGAATGTATGAGAGTATAGTTGTACCAACACACTTGTATGGGTGTGAAGCATGGGTGATGAATGTTGCAACGAGGAGAAGGCTGGAGGCAGTGGATATGTCATGTCTGAGGGCAATGTGTGGTGTGAATATAATGCAGAGAATTCGTAGTTTGGTAATTAGGAGAAGGTGTGAGATTACCAAAACTATTGTCCAGAGGGCTGAGGAGGGGTTGTTGAGGTGGCTCAGACATGTAGAGAGAATGGAACAAAACAGAATGACTTGGAGAGTGTATAAATCTGTAGTGGAGGGAAGGCAGGGTAGGGGTCAGCCTAGAAAGGGTTAAAGGGAGGGGGTAAAGGAGGTTTTGTGTGCAAGGGGGTTGGACTTCCAGCAAGTGTGCATGAGAGTATTTGATAGGAGTGAATGGGGACAAATGGTTTTTAATACTTGACATGCTGATGGAGTGTGAGCAAAGTAACATTTATGAAGGGATTCAGAGAAACCGGCAGGCCAGACTTGAGTCCTGGAGATGGAAAGTACAGTGTCTGCACTCTGAAGGAGGGGTGTTAATGTTGCAGTTTTATAACTGTAGTATAAAATACCCCTCTGGCAAGACAGTGATGTAGTGAATGATGATGAAAGTTTTTCTTTTTTGGGCCACCCTGCCTTGGTGGGAATTGGCCGATGTGTTAATAAAAACAATATACGCAATAATTCTAGCGTCTTCAAATCAAGCAGGAGAACGCTGGCTGGCCCACATGTGAGAGAATGGGTCTGTGTGGTCAGTGTGCACTGTATAAAAAAATCCTGCAGCACGCAGTGCATAATGAGAAAAAAAAAGCTCCGTCCGTGTTTTTGGATTAAAGCGCCAACTTTGAGGTATATTTTCGTATAGTATTTATGGTTGTTTTATCGTTTTCTTGGTCTCATTTGATAGAATGGAAAACATATTACAGAAATAGAGATGATTTTGATTAGTTTCACGATGAAAACGACCTTGAAATTGAGCTCAAAGTAGCGGAAATGTTCGATTTTTACCAGTGTTCAAAGGTAAGCAAATCACACCACACATCCAATACACATCAGATGGGTAGTCTGATATTCTTTCACTAGTGCGCTGATATTATTTATACCATTTTTACGATAATGCAGTAGTCGACATAACAGTAAATCTTCTATTTTTTGTGCGAATAAAAAATCAAAATAGAAACCAAGAGTAATATTAGAGGGGCTTGGAGACGTGACTATTGAACAGAGGATATGTTATTTTAGTGCCAAGAATGTCTGCATTGTTTATTCTGGACCCTGTTTTGAAATGGCATCTTTTTTAATCTGCATGAAATTGGCCAAATTGCCAATTTCTGACCACTTTATTGGTAGTTGAAATTGGTAAATGGGTGGTTTCTTGTACTCAGTTGATAGAAAAATGGAGTTCTAAGGAAATAGCTATGAGTTTGGTTGACTGGAACAATGGAATTGGCCGAAAATAGGGCTCAAAGTCGGCAAAATCGCCGATGCGTATATATCGCGGATATCGCTAACTTCGTGGGAGCGTAATTCCTTAAGTTTTCGAACAAATTTCATACTTTTGGTGTCATTACCATTGGGAAAAGATTATCCTTTCATGGGAATTTTTTTTTTTTTTTTCCAAAAATTTTGCGATACCAGGAGACACTTCAGGATTTGGGGTTGCGATAGTCAAAGGGTTAATACAGTACAGTGCTTAATTTGATACAAATTATATAATAGATATATTGCCTATGGAACTGCTATTATGATGTTTTTGTTACTGTTTGATCTTCAGTTTCTGTCCTTGTCATCTGGATCTTTACCTTGTAGGGTTAGTTTTTATTTACTGTACCAAACCCGTGGAATATTTTGTATGCTGTAATCATGTCATCTCTTGCTCTCTGTTCCTCCAGGGAAAGAGAACTAGTTCATACAGAATTTCCTAGTAACATAAATTTTGCAATCTGGTACCTGTCTAGTTTTAATGAATACTTTATTTTTTAGTAAGGTTTCTATTTTCAAGTGTAGTTGCAATACAATAAATTGAAATGTGTTTTCATAAATAAATGGTTGGAAACCACACCACTAATGTATGCTGGTCAAGTTCCACCAAGACTAGTGGAACTTGGCCAGCATTATGTGCACTGAGCAACTTCTGTTTGCAATAGAATCTGGTCACAAGTAATTCAAATAAAGGAACTTTAAAGAACAAAATATATCTGTCTGGTGGCATTGTTAAAATGAGACCCTTTGTGCTGTTGCATTTTGTGGACCATGACTGTATTCAAAGAATGGGGTGAGGCACTGGTACAGTATCTTAAGTTTTCTCAGCTGAGATAATCCTCTCAGGGGAGGTTACTTGATGCTGGTGAGGAACTCTTGATCTAGGGAATTGGATCTGTGTTCCAGTTCCCTGAATTGAGCCTGAATACCTTCCATCCCCCCACATGCGCTGTATAATCCTATGGGTTTAGCGCTTCTCTGTGATTATAAGAATAATAATAATAATCAGCTGAGATAATTGGCATTGTTAGTAATATTATATCATACTTATTATGTTATGAACCTAATGGAATTGTATTATTTCAGGAGCACAAAAAAAGACCTTAGACTGAATGATATTGATAGTACTGCTGTTGGACAGAAGGACTACCAGCGCTCGCTGTTTAATGTTTGGCGGGATATATTTTCTATACCCAGACCCAAAAAGTAAGTTTATTGTCTTTCAGCTATAGTGCATTTTTAACCCTTTGTGTTTTGAGACCCCTGCTCGCAAACTTGCTCATAGTGTCGAAGAATTTAAAAAAAAAAAATTTTCTTATGAAATGATAGAGAATCTTTTTCCAAAGGTAATGAAATATGATGGAAAACTTAGGGAATTACGCTCTCGTGAAGTTAGTGGTCTTGGCAATATTTACACATCAATGATTTTGCCCACTTGGAGCCCTATTTTGGGCCAATTCTTTTGTTCCAAACAACCAGACTCATAGCTATTTCACTAAAACTCCTTTTATTCTATTGATTGAGTACAAGAAACCGCCTGTTTACCTATTTCAACAACAAAAAAGTGATCAGAAATTACTTATTTGGCCAATTTCACACAAAATTCAAGAAAGGCCAATTTCAAAATAGGGGCCAGAATAAGCAGTGTAAACATTCCTGGCACTAAAATAACATTTTCTGTTCATTAGTCATGTCTCTAGGCCCCTCTTACATTATGCTTGCTTTTCATTTTGAATTTTTATTTTTTTTTTATTATCACACCGGCCGATTCCCACCAAGGCAGGGTGGCCCGAAAAAGAAAAACTTTCACCATCATTCACTCCATCACTGTCTTGCCAGAAGGGTGCTTTACACTACAGTTTTTAAACTGCAACATTAACACCCCTCCTTCAGAGTGCAGGCACTGTACTTCCCATCTCCAGGACTCAAGTCCGGCCTGCCGGTTTCCCCGAATCCCTTCATAAATGTTACTTTGCTCACACTCCAACAGCACGTCAAGTATTAAAAACCATTTGTCTCCATTCACTCCTATCAAAACATGCTCACGCATGCCTGCTGGAAGTCCAAGCCCCTCGCACACAAAACCTCCTTTACCCCCTCCCTCCAACCCTTCCTAGGCCGACCCCTACCCCGCCTTCCTTCCACTACAGACTGATACACTCTTGAAGTCATTCTGTTTCGCTCCATTCTCTCTACATGTCCGAACCACCTCAACAACCCTTCCTCAGCCCTCTGGACAACAGTTTTGGTAATCCCGCACCTCCTCCTAACTTCCAAACTACGAATTCTCTGCATTATATTCACACCACACATTGCCCTCAGACATGACATCTCCACTGCCTCCAGCCTTCTCCTCGCTGCAACATTCATCACCCACGCTTCACACCCATATAAGAGCGTTGGTAAAACTATACTCTCATACATTCCCCTCTTTGCCTCCAAGGACAAAGTTCTTTGTCTCCACAGACTCCTAAGTGCACCACTCACTCTTTTTCCCTCATCAATTCTATGATTCACCTCATCTTTCATAGACCCATCCGCTGACACGTCCACTCCCAAATATCTGAATACGTTCACCTCCTCCATACTCTCTCCCTCCAATCTGATATTCAATCTTTCATCACCTAATCTTTTTGTTATCCTCATAACCTTACTCTTTCCTGTATTCACCTTTAATTTTCTTCTTTTGCACACCCTACCAAATTCATCCACCAATCTCTGCAACTTCTCTTCAGAATCTCCCAAGAGCACAGTGTCATCAGCAAAGAGCAGCTGTGACAACTCCCACTTTGTGTGTGATTCTTTATCTTTTAACTCCACGCCTCTTGCCAAGACCCTCGCATTTACTTCTCTTACAACCCCATCTATAAATATATTAGATGATTTACTGTCATTCAGACTGCTGCATAATTGTATAAATAATATCAGCTCATTTGTGAATGCATATTAGACCCACCAGTTGATGTGTATTGGACGCATAACGTGTTTTGTTTACTCATGAAAATCTCCAAAAATCTAACATTTCCACTAATTTGAGCTCAATTTCAAGCTACTTTTAGTCAGTAAGCCATTCAAAATCACCTCTGTTTTGGTAATATATCTTCCATTCTGTCAAATGAGACCAAGAAAACAAGAATACAACCAAAAATACCATACAAAAATACACAATAAATTCGCTGCTTTAACCCTTTGAGGGTTTCGGCCGTACTAGTACGGCTTATGACCCAGGGTTTTTGACGTACTAGTATGCCTAAATTCTAGCGCCCTCAAATCTAGTGAGAGAAAGCTGGTAGGCCTACATATGAAAGAATGGGTCTTTGTGGTCATTGTGCACAGTATAAAAAAAATCCTGCAGCACACAGTGCATAATGAGAAAAAAAACACTTTGACCGATTTTTTGGAATAAAACAGCGACTTTGCACTGTATTTTCGTATGATATTTATTGTTGTATTTTAGTTTTCTTGGTCTCATTTTATAGAATGGAAGACATATTACAGAAATTGAGATGATTTTGACTGGTTTTACAATGAAATGTACCTTGAAATTGAGCTCAAAGTAGCAGAAATGTTCGATTTTTACCAAAGTTCAAAAGTAAACAAATCATGCCAGGCGTCCAATACACGTCAACTGGTGAGTCTAATATTCTTTCGCAAGTGCGCCAATATTATTTATACCATTTTTTACACTAATGCAGTAGTCTGCATAAAAGTAAATCTTCAATTTTTTGTGAGAATAAAAATTCAAAGTGGAAAGCAAAAGAATGTAAGAGGGGCCTTGAGACGTGACTAATGAACAGAGGAAATGTCATTTTAGTGCCAGGAATGTCTTTCTTGTTTATTCTGGACCCTATTCGGAAATTGGCATCTTTTGAAATTTGTGTGAAATTGGCAAAATTGCTAAATTCTGACCACTGTACTGGATAGTTGAAATTGGTAAATGGGTGGTTTCTTGCATTCATTTGATAGAAAAAATGGAGTTCTAGCGAAATATTCATGTTTTTTGTCGACTAGTACAGTGGAATTGGCCGAAAATGGGGCTCAAAGTGGGCAAAATCACCGATGCATAAACATCGCCGAGACCGCTAACTTCGCGAGAGCATAGTTCCGTAAGTTTTCCATCAAATTTCGTACTTTTGGCGTCATTATGATCGGGAAAAGATTCTCTATCTTTTCATAAGAAAAAATATTATTTTTTTTTTTTAAATTTGGCCGACCCTGAGAACGAGTCTCGGAGAGGGCCTGTCGACCCTCAAAGGATTAAACCAAAAACGCTCGCAGGTTTTTTTCCTCATGCACTGTTTGCTGTAGGATTTTTTTTATACTGCGTACACTGACCACACACACCCATTCTCTCATATGTAGGCCTACCAGCTTTCTCCCACAAAGTTTGAAGCCACTAGAATTTTAGCATTGTATTACGGAACCGACACTGGCTTCAAAGCCGTAATTTTACGAGACCTACACTGAAGGGGTTAATAACATAGAATGGATTATCTGTAGGCATTACAAGTGAATATAAAAAAAATCTTATTTCATAATATCTGAAATGGGTAGGTGAAGATCTCTGAATGTTTAATGTGTTGATTTTTTTCTTCTTTTTTTCGGCCATCTCCCACCGAGGCAGGGTGACCCGAAAAAATAAGAAACTCTTTCACCATCATTCACACATAATCACTGTGTTTGCAGAAGCACTCAAATACAACAGTGTACATGTCACTCAAAACAGCCAATATCCGAAACCCCTCCTTTAAAGTGCAGGCATTGTACAGGTCCTCCATCACAAATCCGGCATCATTGGGACCTGTAGTGTGCCGGATTACTGAGTTTGCCGGATTACAGAGTGGTTAGGTTAGAATACACTTAATAAAATTAACCAACTTGACTTACACAGTTCATTGAACATTGACAAAAATTCGAACATTTCCGCTACTTTGAGCTCAATTTCAAGGTACTTTTCGTCATGAAAGCAATCAAAATCATGTCTATTTCTGTAATATATCTTCCATTCTATCAAATGAGTCCAAAAAAATGAGAATACAACCATAAAAACCATACGAAAATATACTGCAAAGAGGCGGCTAATGGCTGAGAAGTTAACTCCCTTATTTATCGTCCGTCTTTTTTATTTTTGTTGTACGTTAAGAAGCATCTTTCCATCATACATTGCCCAAGTTTCAATGAGATAGCCCAACAAACAACCGAGAAAAAAAAAATATTTACCAAAAATCATATATGGCAAGCCCAAGCCAGGTACTGGAAATAAGTCACTTTGTCTGACTTTTCTGGGTTATCCTAGGTTCTCTATACATACACTGGTATGTATGATAATCTGTGTAACTGTATTTGTGTATACAGTGGTCCCTCAATAATCGTCCGTAAGCCGTTCCTGGAAGTGGGACTATTATCGAAATGGACGATTTACGAATCAATTTTCCCCATAAGAAATAATGTAAATTCAATTAATCCGTTCCTGACACCCAGAAGTATTAAAACAAAAATTTTTTTTACATGAAATATAGATGTAGTACATAAACAATACAGTGGCACTTGATGAATTAAACATTAACAGAATAACACTTACCTTTATTTGTGATTCTTCTTTGTGTATGGAAGACTGGAGGAGGAGACTGATTGGATGAATTACTGTTTGGAAGGGGAATCCCCTTCCATCAACACCTTGGGTACCAATTGCTTTTCTGGGGTTACTTCTCTTCTCTATTTCTTAATGCCACTAGGACCATCTTGAGAGTCAATGGAGTCCTGTCTCGCAAAAAAACTGTCCAGAGAGCTCTGTTTCTGGCGTCTCTTTAAAACTTCCCTAAAATGGGCCAAGACTCTGTCACTGTACAAGTTGCCGATATGGCTTGCAACATCCTTCTCTGGGTGATGTTTCTCCATAAATCTTTCCATCCTAACCCACATTTCAAAAATCTTAATTTCTGAAGAAGGCACCTTCTTCCATCTCTCTTCCTCCTCCTCTGCAGCAAGATTCAGAGCTGCCATCTTTTTGCTGTTCCTGCTGAAGCTCTTGCAGCTCCTCAGGGGTTTACTCTTTGTTGTGGTCCTCCACCAACTCTTCCACATCCTCCAAACTCACAATCCCCCCCATGGAAGCCCCCAGTGCCACAGTGGATTTAACAACTGACATAGGCTCATCGGGGTCAGCCCCAAACCCTTCAAAATCCCTCTTGTGGACACAATCTGGC